CGATAGTCCTGTGATGAATGACCCCAAACACATTATGGCCGTCGCAACCTGTAAGTCATTTACATAACAAAACGATGTTAGTACTTATGATTATCTTCTGTCTATATATAATTAAATAGTTTTATTAATCTAAAAGATTTTAAAAAAGCTTAACCGTTAATAGGGGTCGTCTCCCATATTTATCCACGATTATTAATCCAATAATGCTCATTACGGACTGGAAAGCGCTTGATACCATTACCCCTATGTTGTTAGGAAAACCTGTGAAACAACTGAATTGATCAGTTTCGTCTTTGATAATTACATTACTTTTTTAAGAATAATTCATTTTTAAGAAGATAATAAATTGTCAAGTATATATACCCGATTTGTGAAAAATCGAACTCATGTAAAATGTATAGCCACTAAGTCCTCCCAGTTGTTGTAGTACTAACAATCCAATTCCCACCTAAAAATAGAGGAATTTTGTTTTTGTAATGCTTTTTTTATTCAAAACTTTAGAATTTCAATCGTATATTTCTTACAGTAATGACACGAGAGTATCGTGGTTTGAAGAGCTCGAAAACACTTTCTTCTTTGGATTCTTGAAGATGTTCCATATATGTCTGGAAAAAAAAAATCAAATTCTTTAAAGAGTGTTATACTACTAATTAAGAACGTTTCAGTTTCTTAAACAATTTTTTTACTTTGATTTCGGCAGCCTCTTTGGTGATATCAGCGTTGTTTCCTCGTAAGCGTTGGAGTGCAACTTCCGATTCTTTAACCCGACCATTTCTGGACTATAAAAAGACCAAAATTTTAAAGTCGTTTAATTTACTGCTAATTATTTTTTGATCTGTGAGTAATATGCTAAAACAATAGCTACAAGACGTATTAATTACCAGCCACCTAGGAGACTCCGGTATAAAGAATAGACCAACGTATTCTAAAACACAGGGAACCGTACCTGCACAAGTCCAAATGAAAAAAATATATATATATTTGTATCCACGTGATGTAAATATTTTGTATATCATTTTGGTAGGTGTATAGTCCACGATTTATATTACTTAAGAGAGCTAATTTCTGCCACGAAATGACTGATCCAACGAGGAATGTGATGGAGACGCTAGAACACATCACTAGCTGTAAGGGAAAACAATTAAAGCTATAAGAAATTTGAGTATAAATTAATCAAAAATAAATTTTTTTACCATGTATTACCGAGTTAATTGCAGATAAAGCGCCTCTGATTTTCTTGGGTGCAATTTCTACAATGTAGACAGGTACCTGTAAGTTGAGATTAGTTTAAGAGTTCATAGTTAGTAAGTAATTTATTTGTTTCTTAATGATCACTAAACCCTTATTAGTTCAGTCAAGCCATTAAACTACGTACCACGTAAGAAGCTACACCAGCTGCCACACCGAGTAAAAGTCTTCCGATATCAAGGGACCAAGTCGCCTGAAATAATATTATAAACACCATTTATTAGAAACAGCAAACAATCAATTAATTATTAGTCTAAGCTATTGATTTAAAATATGAGTCGTGGAAGTCGTGGAAGTCTATATAAACCGTAGTTATTTTTTGGTAAAATATGAAACATTTGACCTGTTAAACTCTAATGCCACACAGACAAAAGTCTATTAAGAAAACAGCAAAAATTAAATGAAATTTAGAAATTACCCGAGAGAAGGCGATCATTAGCCAACCGGACAAGCAAAACGAGTTTGAAACCCACAAAGCCTGCCCATAATCATCAGAACGCTATATTTTGATTTTCTTTTCTTGAAATATTTATATGTAAAGAATTACTTAATATGGAATTGTAATTTTCATCATCATGATGATAAATTAGTTTTTTTTTTTTAAATGGATAAAAAATAAAATTAATAAAAAGAGCTTACGCCTCTCCGACCAAAAACATCGGCAAGTCTTCCCGACATGGCTGCTCCCATAAGTCCACCAATTGTTAAGACGGATCCAAAGAATGAAAACTGCATCCATGTAAGAAAGTAAGGAACAATGATGTAAATTACCTTTTCTTCTACATAATTAAACATACTTATAAAAACATACCTTTAAAACTAACTATCATAATTAATATATTTCAAGAAAAGCCGATCATCTAGCAAAACTTAATTACTATGAAACTAATGATCTAATGATCTAATCAATACGAATGGATGATGTAGAAAAGTTCTGGTAATGATCTGTTAATTAAGAAAATTGGACTGAAAATTATATATATCAGCAAACGGAAAATAAAATAAAGATTCAACACTGACCTCAGCCAAAGAGAGGTTTAATCCTGTCATCATCCCAGTTTGAGCTGGTGACGTAAAGCCGGCCTGCCCAAAAATAAAATAAAATAGCCAAAAAATATCATTGTTGGATATAATCATACAAAAAAGTCGCTTTTCGTGACAGCAAAAATTCTTTTTATTGATACATCATTCTCTTTGATTTGGACCTTTCTCAAAATAGAAAGACGTTTTCATCATTGTATGAGCAACAAAATTCCAAAAATTAATGATTGATAATTTGATATCTGACCTACTTAGTACTCACAAATGATAACTATTAACTTTCAACCTGAGCAAAAAACAATAGCTAGTGTTATGTTTTTTCTTTTTTTCTTTCCAATAACTAAAAAAAGAGTCTTGTAACAAGAAAAGTTTCAAGTTTTTTTATATAAAATGGTTTGAGAGTTTGAAAATTTCATACACTAGGAAAATAACAAATTAAGTTATACCTTATAATTTTGTTTAAAACATACGTTGACTTATAATTTCCTTTTCTACACTTAGTATAGGGCATTCTGTGTTTAACCTAACATGAAAAACAGAAAAGCTCA